ACAAAAAACCACACGTTTTTGCCTCAGAGGCAAGCTTCTGTGAATAAATTTCAAGATCTGGCCTGATACCAGCTTAACAAAGTTCTATAATTTATTAGATTTTCTATTTAGATTTTGGTGAGCACTGTCTGTGCCTAATGCACCAAGATTTTTATTTTTTTTTACACTGAAGAGAGTCCAAAAATACAAAACAGTGATTCCAGTAAGAGATGACACTGATGTTCTTTCAAACTGAATTTTTATAGAGATAAGGTTTAAGAACATGCATGCAGACCTAAATAAGTCCTGGAAATGTTATGGTACTTTGTGCATTTCCTGGCATTTTAATGATTCACTTGTGTTAAAACTGCTCTTTAATTAACCTACATTTTTCCTGAACTCTTCCAAAGAGTAAGGAAATGGTATAAAAAAAAAATATTGTCTCAATGAGGCATTTACTAGACGATTAAATCTAAATCATTATACCCAAGTATGTAAAAACTCAAGTTCAAATCTACACCTTCTTTTTCTTAGCTTCCAGTAAGAAGTTGGCATGTGAACTACTTTTCTTTTCAGTAGCTTGACTATAGTGCACACATGCAATCATTACACTATTTGCAAAGGATGAAGCTGAGCAGTTGTTAACTTGGCTTTCAACCTACCATTTTTTTCGCTTTTTGATAGCCAGTTGTGATTATATGCCAAACTTACTCTTCTACCTGAAACAAACAAAACCCCTGCCTCTTACATGGCAGTTTGGTAATCTTATCTAAGATTTGTGTTTGTTTGGTTAAACTATAAAGCTTCAGTAACACTTAAGATTACAGAGCTTAAACAGTACGCTATGCTGTATCAGGTTATCTGCTATATGTTAATGCTTACAGACAATTCTGAGCTTCAAACAGAAATGTTAAACAAAACAACAAAATCATAACTAAACTGCTATTGAAATAACACTGCTTTTATCAATGAATCTGTTTTAAACGGACAGCTATACCATACTGTTCTATGAATTACTATCAAATCTGGCTAAAAAGTCACAGGCCTTGAGTAGATTCAACAGGATCCAAAATTAATACCAAGCACTGGAAATCCTACTTCTCTTCCACCTTTTATATATTTATCAAGTATTTTTGTTCTTAAATTGAAATGTATGTATATCTGTGTATATAGTCACGTCCACGTGCGTATGTGTATATGCACGTGCACACATGACAGCACGTGCGCACATATGTGCTTGTGGAGTGCATGGTGCTTCCAGTCAAATTCTGAACATTTCTAAGTGAACTCTACTTCTTACTGTGAGCTGCATTCCTTCCTGTAAATAACAGTACAGGATATGCAGTAGACGTACAACAGTCATCATATTATATTCTTCAAAAGAAATGTTTCCAAAGTGCTGTGGTAACAAGTTCCTTCCATTATACAGAAAATTTTGCTTATGCCACCTTTTCCAAAGACTTTCACCTGGCCTTCTCTGTTTTCTGTTCACTCATACCAAGCCCAGCAACTAAAACTTTTAGAAAACGGCTAAAAATCCGTGTTTTCTCTCTTTAACCCTGCCCTCTGTCCCTAGTCACAAGCTATTGTATGGACAGAAAAATAAGGCCTAGAGTGACATTTTGTGAAAATGTCCCCAAGCTCTACATTTACAGACACCCTGGTATATAAGCTAGGAGCTCTCCTCATCTTTACTGACAGTTTCCACATATGAAAATGTCAGAGCTGAAATTGCATTAGATTTCAGTACTGCATGAAGTGCGTTAGTGCCAAACCTGAAGGATACGTAGTTGGTGTCAAAAATGGGAAGAGCATGACAACACAATCAACTCACTTCAATGCATCAGCATGCTGATTATTAGTCTTATTGCTCAGACAAGGCCACTGGAAGAAACCAATTACCACTTTTTATTTTAGACCTAGAAGCCTTTTGAGAAATGATACGCTGCAAACCAGCTGGCACTGCATCAGAAAAGGCTGTTAAGTAAGATCCCATAAATAACCTTCCACAGACCACTGTGTAGTATCCTATGAGAAGTGCATTTTAAACATAAATAAAATTAAGCAATTTATATTTAAGCATTTTAAACATAAATAAAATTAAGCAATTTATATAAGACAAAAATGCTGGTACAGCAGTCTAGAAAGTTATATACATATGGACACCACAGCACTTACACTGTCAGGCTCCTGGCACCAACCACATGACAGTGGATATGACTGGCAGGGCACTACCCCTTATTACAGTAAGCAAAAGAATAACAATTAACATGAACTTCGGAAAGGTTCTCAAGCACTTAAGTCCTTTACTGAAACAATGACATGCCTGTGGGGGGCAGGAGTACTATATAAACTCACCATCCAGTTCTAATCTACAAGAGAAAGGCACAATGTTTGAAAGGAACAAGCCTATGTAAGGACTGACATCTAAGGGAGCGACTGGACTGCTAAATTCATGGATTTACCATTATCACCACCTCAACTTCCTAGCCTCTCTTTCCTGAGGAGCCTTTATCCATTGCAGCACTCCAGTCCTGTGACTAGTCCCACCATCCCTGTATAATCCCCAAAAGGCCACAGCTCTGCCGCCGCACGCGGACTTTAATTCCCCATTTGTCTCCTCTGCCATACACAGGTGTCAGGCTGCTTTACCAGGGAAAGGGCAAAAGCCTTTGGCATTATGCTGTTCCCCACACTCTTCTCTGATCCTCATGCTTTCACTTCTCTTCAGGTTATGATCGCTGCCCTGACACCTGTAGTTTAAAACACTCCTCAGTGGGTTAGCAAGCCTATTGGCAAAGATGCTCTTGCCCTACTTTGTCAGAAGGATCTTATGCCTGCCGCACAGTACCCAATCACTTAAAAGAGGACCTTGTGGTTGGTTGTAAGAGTCAAAGCCCTGCTTGTGATGCCAGCTATGCAGCCAAGCGTTGACTTGCTGGAGATGCCTTTTCCTACCTGAACCTTTTGCCTTCACTGTCAGGATCAAGGAAA